AATGGTTAAAATGGCTTTGAATGTGTAAAACCACACTTCTTTGAACATTGTAGACTGGCACTAAAGAATCAAAAACAAAGAATTGTACCAAATAACAGAAAACCCATCAGTTGAGGAATTTTAACAATGGAAACAACTAAAACAAACATCACATATAACACAAAGGACATAACCAAAATGTTAATATTCCACACTTTATTCAGTTGAACTAACACAGACATTCATGAGTCTATCACACCAGCCATCACAGTCCTGCATCATGGTCAAAAGGTCATTAGAGTGGCATTCTCTGTCATAACACAGCTGGTTGGTGATAGCTGGGGGAATTGCTCAATGGCTAGCTATCCAGAGCAGTAGATCAATCACAAGTTCTTGTTTTGCTCCCCAACAGTGTCCTGCAAAGCACATTCTGTGTTCACATAAGATAATAGAAATATCAAGGATTGGTTTATACAGCAGTTGCATGCTGTTGCCAAGAGATCTTAATTATAGTTCTCAGCATCCAAGTATAGGTTCTATTCAGCTTAGACTCTAGAATTTTTGTTAATGCTACTTCAAATAAAAAGTTAGGAAGGAAAGCCTCCATCAGTACTGGAAAGAGCAATAACAGCTAATGGACTTGAGAAACCTATTTTCCTGAAAAGATTTTTTAAAATTTCAACTAAAAGTATCATTGGCTGCTTGGTAATGAATGCCAAATGTTTCCTTATAAGTAAATGGCTAATATTAACCTTACTATTTTACTTTACTTAAACCTATGTATATTTAAAAAAAAAATCTACAAAACATATAGGAGAGTGTGTTTAGATTTTTTGCCTATAACATTTTTTCTTTTTTTTTTTAAGATCTCTTTCCATTTTCAGTTGAAAAAGGCTGACATTTTAAACCAAGAGCAAAGAAAGAACTTATATTTATCACAAGTTCTTTCTCTATATATTCTTTGAGAGACCTCTGTTTTGTCTGAAGCCTTTCAAAGCTAAGTTACAACTGAAGGCAGTGGGATTATGTGTCAGCCCAAATACTGTATTGGAAAAAAGTAGAAATGATGATAACAGACCCAATAATATGTACATGCATGAAAATATCAGAATTCCACCTCTTTAAAGTCAAAGGTCAATCTTTATATATCCTCCTTATCCTAATAATCTTCACTTCTTACCACTACCTCTACCCTTCATATAAAATCTCATTGACCATAAGCATTTGAATAGTAACCTTCTATATTGAGTGACTCTTGAGCTTTGTACTGAGTGAAACCTAGTAGAACAAATTTTAAACAATAGACGAAGGTTGAAGAATATATCAACAGAAATGTAATATTAAAAAAAACAAAGACGAAGATTACATTTGAGATAATATATAAACTAATGAAAATATTTCATGTCAGCGCTTCAAAATATGAGAATTGTATTTTGACAGAAAATTTTCTTTTTTTTTTTTGGATTTCATCTCAAGCAAGGTAGTAAAAGTCACTAAGGCACAAGTGGGTTACTGGGTGTGGAAGAATTAGGAACGGAAAGAGAAACGCGGAAGAATTAGGAACGGAAAGAGAAATGCAGAAGAATTAGGAACGGAAAGAGAAATGCGGAACAATTAGGAACGGAAAGAGAAATGCGGAAGAATTAGGAACGGAAAGAGAAATGCGGAAGAATTAGGAACGGAAAGAGAAACGTGGAAGAATTAGGAATGGAAAGAGAAATGCAGAAGAATTAGGAACGGAAAGAGAAACGTGGAAGAATTAGGAACGGAAAGAGAAATGCAGAAGAATTAGGAATGGAAAGAGAAACGTGGAAGAATTAGAAACAGTAGAGTGATAGAGGAAAGCAGTGCACAATATACTTGATGAGATTGAGCAAATAGACGAAAGAACAGGATTTTGTGGGAAATAACAAAAAGACAAAACTTATTAAGAGCTACAAGTGACAGGAAGATGTGGAGGGCAATGATCGCTTATGTCCTGTAGGGACAGGGCATATAAAAGATGAAAGACGAAGTGGGAAAGAGAAAGCAGTAATCAGGAGGATAGCAGATAGCAATTGACACTGCATTTAAACTTTTGGAGATGAATGGAACTGGAAGGAATCTCAAGGTAAATAGCAGGAGCACTGGACCATGTGTGGCAGTAATATTCTAAGGATGGAAAAATGGTAGACTTATAGACATGTATGAAAGATTCTGGAGAGAAAAATTATTTTAACATTAACATTTGCCCGAGAAGGTGTAATGAGTGTCTTTCCTGGAGGTTAGCATCAACCATGCTGACAAAAGGCAGAGAGGGGGTCTCTCAGAGGATTTTCAAGAAATAGAGGAAAGTCTTTTATTCCAAACACACAACTAAATAGAAGCTCTAGGCATGTATAATGATCATCAGATTGATGATTTTATAAGACATTCAACTGACTTTATAGAGAAAGCTTTTATATTATCTTTTATTCTAAATACAAATCTATGCAAAATAAATAATGCTTGTACTGAATGAATTTGATATCCAGTGGACAACAGAAGTGCAAACACATTGGAAATCTTTTTTTTTTCAAATCTTTTAACCTCAATCAAAAGGTGGGAATGCCACTAATATGCAGGGAGTTATAGGGAGTTAGAAAAGACTCAGTATAGGGAGGGTTGAGAAAAGGATAAAAGATGAACAGGATTCAAGATAGAAGATGGCAATTAACATTGCATTTAAATTTTTGAAGATTGTAGTTGTCAGGGAAGCAAGTAAACAGAAAACAGTTCCACAGGTGAGAAGTGTGAGAAAAGAAACTGTTGGAGTAGAAGTAGCAGTTGCATTTAGCTATTTCAACAGTAAATGGTTGAGACCTAAATGCCAATCAAGTAGCAAGCTTAAATTCATGTAACCAGGCACCAGGAACGAAAGTTGTCAGAGCAGCCGCCATGAATATATTTGTTGAGAAGACAGAGGCAAGCCACACCATGTCGATGAGAAAGTGACTGAAGCTGAGTTTCCAGTTCAGGAACGATTACATTACTGATCATTCTTTGGATTTTATCAAGAACCTTGAAATGAATAGCAGGAGAACCAGACCAGATATAGTAGCAGTATTCTTACTAAATCACAAACCCAGGTCATCATAATGATGTTACTCTTCCCTCATAAATAATGTTCAACTTTTTTAAGTTATGAATAATGCTTTTCAGAGGATGAAATTCTGTCAGAAATTGTATGAAGTTCATTTCAGAAGAAAAGTACAGGAAATGTTTGTCTCCACAACACAACAACCTTTCCACAATCACCTTGCTAACATATATATATATATAAGGTTTGCACTAATAGTTTTAATACTTATTACTTAAAAATCACTTGACAAATTCATAACTTAGTTACCTCCCCTGAAGCACTCAACTTAGTATTCTTCACAAGTAAAAAAAAAAAAATTACTTTCTGATGAAGACAGCAATTTTGTCTTTGTAAATGAACACTAAAATATTTGACTTGAACTAAACAACACCTGATGATAATATTGTGCTAATGTCGAAAGTACTCAGAATAAATAATATGTATCAATGCAGTAATTTTCTCTCTTCCTTTAATAATGAAACCAAAAAGCTTGTTCAATTGAAAATAAATAGACAAAACTCATCTAAATTATTCAATGAAACATGTCTCTCTCTCTCTCTCATATATATATATATATATATATATATAAAAAGAGAGATATTCAAGTCATTGCATGGTCTTTCATTTTATTTAGCAAATATGATAAATGTGTGTATTTTTTTAATTAATTTATATCATTATGATACCTGAGTTTGTGAACAAAGATTTAGCAAGCAATTCCAAAGTATATGCACTTCTGTTGATGGTTGACTATCAAGAGCCACTCAGTACAAGCATTATTTATTTTGCATAGATTTGTATTTAGAATAAAAGTTAATATTCAAGCCTTCTCCATAAACTCAAAAAAAAAAAAAAAAAAAAAAATACACGGAAATTCTTCAATGTGATTTACTGTTTTGGGGAACTAGAAAAAATATCTAATTTAACTAAGCTAAGATTTTTACTCGTAGATAATGGTAATCAATGTCTTTGTTCGTTTTTTGCCTGCAGGATACAACAGTTCAAGCTAATTTGATTTGGCATTATTGATTATATCCGATGTCAGAAAGTTATCAATAGCCTTTAACGTCAATTTAGATAATCATTTTTCACTTAGAGTTCATTAATAATCTTGATCATCTCGACAATACAAATACAGTACAATACACAAACCGCCCACCAAATTCACAAGATCTGTGAAATGACAACATAATGTAGATGCAGAATTTAAAAAAAAGAAAAATAATAGCTTTCATTTCAGCATACCATTTCAGAGCTGAACAGATGAAAATAATTCTGAATTAAAATTTCTAAATCAAACAGTAATCAAACAGTGGAGTAATGGATAGTGGCTTGGATTGTGAAATCGGAGAGCCGAGTTCGAATTCCAGTCGAATCCATTACATTCACTTACGTGCTAATACCCTTAGGAAAGGTATGAATCCTTTTCTTCTCCTTCCCCAACCAGTTATGGGTAAATAGCAGGACAGACCGGATTCTATAGCTTTGGATGGTAACTGGTCTACTGCAGAAAGAAATGGCAACCTACTGCAGGAAAAAAAATCTGCCTTGTCAGTCATGTATTGAAAGATACACAGTCACCTAAACATATATCACACATGGCACATAATTGACTGAAATCAAACAATTACAAAATTAATTACAAAGAAACAATATTTTTTGTTCAACTCATTGTATGTAACCTAAGATATAAGTAGGATTTAGATAAATTTGTTAAACCTTTTTATTCACTCTAATTATTGTATACAATGTTGATTGTCCATTTTTTTTTTAACCCATTGTTGTAGAGAAAAAATGGATTCATATCTTTCCCAAGGATATTTGTGCATAAGTGAATGTAATGAACCTGACTGGACTTCAAACTCGGCTCTCTTGTTTCTCATTCTGAGTCATCATCTATTACACCACCCACACATTCAAGCTTACAGCACCTGATATTCCCAAGCAGACACCCACCTAGGTACTAACCACGCTTGACATTGCTTAACTTCGGTGATTGGACAAAGACTGGTGTTTGAACAGGATTACATACAATGACAGTTAAAAATTGATTTATAGAGAAATGCATTGCAAATTATTTTATTAATTTACAATACATAATCTGTTATTTATTTAACAGCTGTGTTTATGTAAAACATAATAGCACAAGTAGGAATTTTCATGCAATTATGGTGACAGTTTTATTTACACTCACTGTTCACTTTATTAGGTATGAACTTCTACTGTTGGTTCAGGGTTGGCGTATGGTACCTCCAAACCCAAGGCTGAATGGAAGCCCTGATTAGTACTTTGTGACCCTTGCTATCTTATTAATGTTTGCTATTTTCTACCTAGATTTACATATGTTACAAATTTAAACTAAGTACAACCGATTATTAAAAGATGAAAAATTTTACAGAGTTGATGTTATTCTGGTTATTTTTATTTTTGTCCAAATTTGAATTTGTTTTTCTCATGCTAATTTCATTTGATTCAGTCAACCCTACATTATTCAGGTGAATTAAGATGCAGAACTGTCATGATTCCAGGCCTTCATCCAACTCTCACACATGGCTCCAAAAAGTTGCTTGGTCACTGCATTGCCCACAATCTGGACAATGGCAAAACTGACAACTAAACTGTGTGAGAGTAGTAGGAAGGGTTTTCCAGCCTGACCAGTGAAGGGGAAATGCCTCTCCCTAACCCACTGTACCAAGTGTACTCAATTGTTGGCATCATAGTTTAGCCATAAATTCTAATTCTCTCTCACCATTTTTGTTTGTAGAGTGAATATTGAACAATCCCATGTATGTCTGGAACATTGTTCAACCTATTCAGATACCATTCCTACAGCAGGGTGGGGATGTGCTCTTCAATCAAGGTAATGCTCTGCAAAATTTTCAACATTTTCTGATCACCAGAAGTGCATGCCAATAAACATATATGGAATTAGATGGAACAAAGCCTGACTCGTTCAATTAGCACACCTATAATTATATATGGTTGTAATGTGTCAACAGCCATAAGAAAAGTGGAATAATACAACACATGATGGGATTCAACATCTTTGTGATTATACATGCAGGAATACAGGGCTGTATTAGTACACAAAGAGGATATACAGCAGTGTACTGCAGCCATAGCAGCAGTGGTGTGTCTAAAGACTCAAATGCTACTATATTATTAATATTATTCTTATACAGGGTTATTCAGAAAGAATGAACCAATTTCATTACACAATATTTTAATAAGGAAAAGCAATAGAAAACTCTAGCCAAGTCACAAGTATTCTATTCACAATCAACTTTTATTTCCTGTCTTACAAGTGTTCAATGTGGCCACCACCTGCAGTATGGGCCACATCAATGCAATAAGAGAATTACTCCCAGATGCATATCAGATTGCTGTTGTTATTCAGTATTTAAGGTCATCAAGTTTAGTGAGTAGAGGTGGAACATAAATGTGATCTTTTACATATTCCCACAAGAAAAAAAAAAAAAAAAAAAAAAAAAAAAAAAAAAAAAAGTCACACACAGTGAGGTCTGTGGAACTTGCAGACCAAGCACAAAGAGCAAGGTCTTGGTAAGTGCCTGAACAAGGCATAGTAAGTAAGGTTTCAAATGTAGACGTCTTCTTAGCACATGCCAGATAGTGGACTGAGATATCGCAAGCTCACAGCTAGCTCAATTTGTGGACTTCCATGGACTCCCCTCAAATGCAGCACGGATTCTCACTACTTCTTCCGAAACTCGTGGTCATCCTGGACTTTTTCTTTTACACATAAACCCACTCATTTGAAACTGTTTAAACCACCATTGAATGTTTTTTAGGAGAGAGCAGATTAATGTCAACATTGCCTTTGAAAAGCACGCTGCACCGTGTCAACTGTATCTATTTTCACAAACTTGAGAATGCAGATCGCCTTTTGCAACAGAACATTGCTGGAGATATGATGCTATTACAGCATCCCTGTGGCAGCCATTCAAGAAAACTTCTCTTTCAAATGGTCACCGACTCATTCCATGACAATGTTTGAGAACTGAAGCAATGCATTATGAAATCGGTTCATTCTTTTTTAATAACTCTGTACATTTACGTGTTTTAAAATATTTTCTTTTTATTTTACAGACCTTTACCCAAAAGAATATTTTCTGTACACAATTATAGCCTATAAAGCAGACAGGGAAATCATCTCATCCTTACTTCTATGGCATCCTTCTGGAAGTGACTTCTCATGAAAATTGACTTTCCCCAGACACCATAGCTTCGGACTCAGTGTTGGACATTGGGGGTCTGGGAAGGGCAATACAGAACCAAACAGTGTAGAAAGGGATTGTCAATGGAGTTCTGACCAAGCATTGGGAGGTCGAAGGATGATGATGATGATGATGACCTATAACTAGACTATATTATTATGATTCTGTACATTGCATTATCAATTCTCTTCACCAATACTTTTACTTCAGGTGTTATAATGGCTGATACACTGATTGAGATTCAGACAATTCTGAGGCATTATTTTAAACTGGGCCCCAAAGATGTTGAAACATTATTCTATCTAATAAAGGTTCTTCTAAGAGCCACTCATGGTAGAGGGTTACTGAATGTAAGGAGTAGAAGGAAGTGAGGATAAGGAGGATAGATAGCAATTGGCCCTTGTCTTGAAGAGGTTAAGATTGTAGTGTTCAGGGAAGGATCCACACAAGAGTCGGTATTTGTAGAGTGGCATTTCTCAGGAGAAGTTTGTGTGAAACTGCCTTCTTACAGATAAAATATGGGGGAAATGTAGGTGATTAAACTCTGTGGTCATAGGATGGAATGTCCTAGCTATAAAGATCTGAACTGATAGAATGAAAGAGTGAATTTCATCTGAACATTTTCCATGAAAGTAGGAACTGGAGCAATAAGCTTGCAATGTTGCATCCGTAGAAAGAATAGGCTGTAGAGTGGAAAATAAATTACCCCCACCACATACACAAAAACACACACACCAAAACTGCATAATTGATTTTGAACTATCAAGGTTGTAAAGTGAGGATTGAGCAGCTCCAGTAAAGACATTTTTTTAAAAATCATTTCACCCCAAGCAAAGCAATAAAGCCACTACGATGCAAGGTGTTACTGAATGTAAAAGAATATGAGAAAAAGAAAAACATTATTAAGGAAAGAGAACATGAAAAGAACAAGAATTAAGAAGATAGAAGATAATGATTGAAATTGCATTCAATTTTTTAAAGATCAAAATTGACTGGAAAGCAAGAAGTTGGTAGAGAGTTCCAGAGAATTATAAGAGAAGAAATTGTTGACATATGTAGCAATATGAGTTAAATTTAAACAACTCAATACAGAACATTTACTTTTGACTGATAGCTATCAGTAATTGGAGTCAACTTTAAAGTACAAGAGCAAGACTGAGAGAAAGTGATGGAAGGAATATCAATTACTTTTTTGGATGAAGATGACCGGAGAAAGAAAACGGCTCTCTATAAAACTGACCCTCCTGTGCAAAGGCAAACAAAAGTAATGAAGTGGGCCTGCAGAAAGGACACAGAAGATGGCTACAGAATTGTGCACATCTCCACTCATTTACACCTCAACTCACCTTCACTTGTCTATAGGAGGAAAGTACTATCTAAGAATAAAATCTGGTCTACTGCTCAAAATTGTTTTGTTTTTTTTTGGTAATGATCTTAATTTGGGGTTAATAAAGACAAACGCCAAATAACATGTAACAATAAAATGGGGTTTATTCGGTTGGTAAGTTGGTACAGAAATCGCCTGAGTAGTCTATAACTAACTGAGATGTTGTGAGTTTCCCGCGTGTTGGTGTATGAATCAAGACAAACACAGTTGTAGGGGAAAGTACTGGTATATTTGTAAAAGCAATTAACAATAGAGTGATTAGTAGAACGAAGGTTGGTTAGTACGAAACAATATCCAAAGTCTATAGTCCAACGGTATGTACCGGGTAAGCTTATCTGGACTGCTAACGCTTGACTCTCTCCCCAGAGCTGACTTATATAAGAGGGACCAGTCCATTACTAGTTAGAAGGTGGGTGCGCCCCAACACTAACTCAGGCCAGAACTTCTCCGACACTGTCTTTTGACATGCCACTATCTAACGTCCTTGTTTGTAGACAAGTTCATCTTCAAGGGGGGTGGTAGGTTCCTACACAACAATCTGGCTGAAAGGTAAATTTTAAGCCACAGTTGTTTGACTGAAAGAAACTGCATGCTGTCAACAAACCTGGTATCTGCTTTGAGCTTCAATGCAACATATAGAACTTATGGTTACATCTAGCCATTTCAGCTGTAAAATGATGAAACTTTGCTGCCAATCTAGTACTGCACTTAAATTCATAAAGTCTAGGTACCAAAGAGGAAAGTTCATCAGAAAAATTAGCATGAAAATATTTGTAAAAAAGGCACAGGGAAGACATGTTATGGCGGGAGAAAATTGACTGAAGTCGAGATGCCAGGTCAGGACCAATAACATTGCAGATTCTTCTTTGGATTTTATCAAGAATCTTCAAATACATAACAAAAGTACCAGACAAGATGTGGCAGCCACAGTTAATTCATGGATGAATTCTAGACTTATAAATGTATAAGATAGATTCTGAGGAGAAATGCTCCAATTTTGGTTAGTCTAACTCTTGTAGAGATAAAGCATAGCAGAAGCTGTCAAGTACTTTTTGGTAAAGTATAAAAAAAAAATCACCTACTTTTCCAGCATCATTAATTATAGATCTTATATACGAGTTTCACTTGAAGTCCCAACAGACATTCAAAACATTGTGCCTCATTGAGAGTGCAACTTTTCATTTTGACAGAAGAAAGCTCTGACTTTGATCAATTAAAAGGAAATGAAAGTAGCTTGGTTTTAGAGGTCCTGAAAGTTACAAGCCAGTTTCTATCCCTGCTATTGAGTTGTTTCAGACAGGTCAGCGGAGAGATCAGATGTAAGTTTACTGAACATCTACATATATGTTTACTAATGATCTGCTCACAGAATTCGGAATGTGGAAATGTTATATCA